TCTATCAGTGCTAGACATTACAGGCCTTGGTGGATGTAAATGGTCTCTTACTTCCTAATTTGTGGGTCACAATACAATACATACAAACATGATTCCTAAACTTCATTACACAAACAGCAGTGCAAAGCACTGTAACCTCTGCTACCTCTTGGGAAGTCCATAAGTGGTTGGATACAGATGCAGGAAGGGATAACACTGCAGATCTGATAAGACCTGCCCTGACAAACTGTGCTGACACTTGTACTCTTGAAGTAATGTCAATATAAGTATCTGGCAAGCTAAGGAGGTTTTCACAGTTTGCATTGTTGTGTGAAGACCTTGCAAGAAGCTTTGAATCTAAGAGAGTCTTGCGGAATCAAGCTAAATGAGTAGCTACTTATAAGTTATGCTCTGGAATGTCACAAGCATAGCTGTACTCACCTTTCCCAGAATGCTGCAGAAAGGTATAGCAGGATTCTGCCAGAATGTAGGGAAGGGAGAAATGATGAGCACACAATGACAGTCAGTCACAAGCTCTCCTAAAAGAGTCACAATCTACAGCTGACCTTATCACTCTATTCCTTCCCTAAGCTTGATAAAGAGTCATAAAGACAATACCTTATATGCAAGTGGAAACAGAGAAGATGCATGTACAAAGATGCATAAGAAGCATGACTAAAATATAACATAATCTGAGTGTGACTACTGTGATGTGCATATGTAGGATCCATTGAATAGGGAATATACCTGATAGCCTGACTCTCACACATGGGACTCCTACTGACAAGTATGGAAATTGCTGGCATATATGGGATCTTATCCATCTTTTACAATATTTACTTTCTATTGTTGAGCTATTGTGTCACATGACTCCTTTTTGTACCTGTGAGTAGTACCAAGCAGAGACATGTATGGATGGATAGGCATGGAAGCAATAGCACAAGTAACAAACAAACATCTAACTGGTAATTGGTTATAATTTTTGGCTGACTATATTACATATTATAACTCAGGTAGGACTACTGTACTACCTCACCAGCTCATAAATAATATACAATCATGTAGTTGTTCATGTTCTATATCATGTGATAGATCATATTGCCATACCACCCACCTTTGATGCACAGATAATCTATTACATTATACAGAATTTTACCAGAATAATTTTTTAAAAAAAATAGAGAGAGTGGTGATGATGGGGTACTGTTCACATGGTCTGTGCACATTTCCTAATATAGTAATTAATGAAAATATAGCCAAAAATGAAAAAGAAAAAAAAAGAAATTCACATGTTGTAAATGGTTGTTGATAATATTAATGTACTATTTACTTGGTCTGTGCATGTTTCCAAATATGGTAATTAGTAAAAATATAGCCAGAAAATCAGAAGAAAAAAAGAGAAAAATATGTGATTATAGTTTCACCCCATATGCATTATATAGTTGTTTATGTTGTGTATCATATGATATGACATGTGACACAATCATGTGATATATAATAATCAGGTGATGTCATCATGTGATACAGTCATGTGATAGGTCATATGATATAATCATGTGATGGATCATATGATCTGGTCATGTGATATAACCATGTGATGCAGTCATGTGATCTCTTTTTCTGCACTTATAACATCACTACTGCTATTTTTTGCTGTTCATTATCCTTGTTGTTATTCCTCTGTAGCTGTTGTAATATGGTGTAATGAGGTCTGGCCACAGAAATTAATAAGGTAATTGATGAAAATAGAGCTAAAAAGTCACAAAAGAAATAAAATAAAATAATATAGTATTGTTGATGGTCTGTGCACATTTCCTGATAAGAAATTATATCTAGAAAATTAGAAGAAAAAGAAAGAAATAATGGACTGTTGTTGAGAATATTGGAATATTGTATACATGCTCTGTGCACATTTCCTAAAATGGTAATTAATACAAATATTGCTAGAAAAATTGGAAAAAATATTCACATGATATAAATGGTTGTTGATAATGTTGATGTACTATTTACTTGGTCTGTGCATATTTCCAAATATGGTAATGAATAAAAATATAGGCAGAAAATGAGAAGAAAAAGACACAAAATAATAGACTATTGTTAACAATATTTAGATACTGTATACATGGTCTGTGAATATTTCCTAATATGGTAAATGATACAAATATAGCTAGAAAAACAGAAAAGAAAATAGAAAAAGAATAGACATACCATCACAACTGAATGCAGAATGATACACCATGCAGATCAACACATACATAGAGCAGACTCTCAAATGTTACTGTGGTACTACAGTGACATCAATTCTGAGGTTGAAATTTGACTCATTGTGAGAACTTGGTGAGGACTCAGCAGCCTCAGCCATCACATCGCTTTGAAATTTTGACAGTCTGCCCTGTGCATGTGTTGGTCTAGCATGGCTTATCATTCTGCATTCAGCTGTAACTGTTATTGACAATGTTGGTGTATAGTGCACATGGTCTGTGCATATTTCCAAATAAGGTGATTTGTGCAAATATAGCCAGAAAATTACAATAAAATATAAGAAACATTAAAGAAAATATTAGATGGTAGTCACTATTGGTTATGATGGTGCAGAGCTAANA